TGCGCCGAAATGTTGGTCTCATCCTGTATGGCCTTTCGTATGCACCAACCGATTTTCCGAACCAGCCAACCAACTGATCTTGAGGTTAACTGACAGGGCTACGGGTAGTCCGTCTGCGCGTGCCACACATACGATCTGGCTCCCTACATCACACATCAGGATCTCACTCCGAATTGACTCAATTGCTTAAATAGTACATGTAGCAAAGGACCCACAGGAAGTTGCCGAAAGAAACACTACTTATGTGAGAGGTAACTAGTTCGTTGTTGGATGTTTTTCTGTGCGATTTACGTGCTGGTGAGTAGATGTGTGTCTCATGAATTGAGGCAAATGTTCACATCCCAGGTATGTGCACAGATATAAAAGGAAGAGGAAGGGGCGTTCGAGCACCTGAATAATAATAATTTCATTCGCCTGAGCATTCGAGCTCTTACTGAAGCCGATCGTCCGAGATAAAAGATTCACGGAGTGGATCCAACAAGGAAAAAAGAGACCGAAATGGCCATTTCTGGCTTGTTAGCCTGATATCTTTCAAGTACGAGCTTTAAGGCACTTTCGGGACAAGTATGTGCCCTAACCAGATAGATCGAATGAAATCCCCAGTTCCATCCTATTCACGATCAAAACCGACAAAGCAACGAGCCCGTGGTGTCGAGGTAGTGTTAAACTCAATGACCAAAGGTCCTGGGTTCGAGTTTCGGGGGTCCCAACCCTTGAGATTGGGTATGACTGGCTGATGATGGCTAAAAAGCCAGAAGTGGCCATCCCGGTCTCCCTTGTCTTTGTCAGATCCACTCCATCATATTCTGAGGTCGCTAGGCAACAGCCTGATATCGCTAAAGTTCGAGCCTCGAGACACTTTCGAGACTATTATGTGCCCTAACAAGATAGATCGGATGAACACCCCAGTTACACAAAAGAGTCAACAAAAAACAAGTGACAGTTATAAGGGGCAGGGGCCAATCAACCGCTATAGGGGGGGCAACCAACCACCAATGCCGTCAGCCCGTAGATGTCTACGCAGGATGATGCATGCTGGCACCAGATCGATAAATCGATAGAATTAATTTTCATCCTCGCAGCTGCGAGGATAAACTCGTGACCGGTCTCGTAGGCATGGACGGCCACTTGTAAAAATGCGTCCCCCATACTACAGCAAGCTTATGGTTCTCTATGCGCGAACCAAGCATGCGTCCAGTCTGTCCTGTGTAATTTCGGGACAGTTTAGACATGGTATGCAATACACTACG